GGGGCGGGGTGGGGCGGGTCGGCCACAGACGTGCCAGGTCCGCTTTCGGACCCCACAACCGGACCGCAAGGCTCCCGGGCGCGCCCAACTCCCCCATTAGACGCAAAAATGTCCCTCCTGGGGCCTGGCCCCGGCATGGCCTGCGCTCCCTGCCGCCCTGGCCTGGCCCCGTCCAGGACGCGCCGAGCGTCACCAGGGCCAGAGCGACGCGGGGGCAGCAGCGCGGGGGTGGCCGACGGGACGACCGAAGAACGTCGCGTCGTTGCCCATGACGCATAAGATCGTAAGATCAATGAGATGAGAACTCCTCGGCGCAAGTGAGTTGTTTTGCTCGTGTACTTTGGGACCACTCTCCTGCTCTCCTTTCCCATGCCCCCCTCCCCTCTCTCTCCCTCTCTCTTACCCTGTGCTGCTGCTCTCGACGTTTTGTCGGGGATATAGCCCCACCCGACCCCCGAGCCACACTCCCCGAAGGCGCGCCCTGAAACGTCCCAGTGCGTACGTCGGAGCTGCTGCTGACCCCTCGAGCCATCATGGCGATGGAGGAGTGCGAGCGAGCGAGCGAGAGAGAGAGAGAGAGAGAGAGAGAGAGAGAGAGAGAGAGAGACGGCGAGCACATAATGGATTTCCACCCCAACGCACCGAGCGTCCAGCAGCAGCAGCAGGCACAGGAGCTGCGTTATCCTCGGGGTGCGCTCAGTCGGGGGCACCTTGGGGGCCCTCCCCGCCCCCGCCACAAGCCCCGCCCGGGCACGGGGCTGATGCCGGTCACAGGCACAGGCCGGGCTGCCGAGGCTGGCTGAAGGCTGCGACGACGTGACATAGATGAGACGAAAGGGCGAGACGACGACGTAACAGGGGCGCACCGCCGTGGATGGGACGAGGACGTGACGATGACGTCACAAGGGCGGGACAAGGACGGGCGGCACGAGCCAGTGTCTCCTAAATCGTTTGCATTAGTCGGGGACAATGTTTGCGCGCACACTCCTCGCGTTGTGGCCGCACTGTAAAAAATAATAGTGATTTTACCGATAATTCGTGTAATACATTACAGAAATAGTGGTGTGATTTTACAG